ACGCCACAATCCCTTCTCCTCCATTCCCCTCTCGGGATCTTGGGCATGCACGCACACGCGCCTGTCGTGAGTTTAAGCCACCGGGTCTGGGACTCAAACCACGGTTGACTACGTGGGAGTCCAGCGACATAGCTATTACGCTAACCGCTGGTCCCACGGCCCAATGTCTTAACGTTACAAACAAATTTTTTAAAACAAGAATATTGCTTTTATCATTGTGTCTCTGCCTTGGTGGCATACATCAGCAACAAATCACATCTAATACATGAATTCCCACCCAGCATGCAGGGTTAGAACGCTGTTGTTTACTAATTTTGAAAGGACAATCTGGGCTCCAGAACTGGAAATACAGCAATTTGAATTGTTGGGCTGCTCCAATCCAATAGTATCTTCTGACCTAGAGCAGGTCAAGGAGGCAAAAGGAGCAAATGCCATTCTCACTCTTCCAAGACAGAAGTTGGCTGATACCCATTAATGGCATAGGTGTTTGTGAATACACATCTCCAACTCCACCTCCAAGAAGAACCTCAGAATAGAAGAGAACCACCCACCTCTCTGCCCTGCCCACATACAACAGCAGAGGCTTGGATGTAACAATCCAGAGATATAAATGATCAGTATGATTTATCATGGTCTTTAATTTGGAAATGATTACAATAAGTTAGTCATTTAGTTCTATTTTACTAATACCAATAGGGGCTTCTGATAACACAAAGGACCAAAGAAAAGACAGCTGGTGGGGGCTCAATTCTTACCTTCAATAATGAAAGTAGAAATAGAAGCACAATTCTCTCAATATTCATCTAAGCTGTAAAAACAGGTCAGAATTAAGGGTACGCATGTGTCATTCTTGAAATAAAAAAGGTTCTAAATACAATTGTTCAAAATATTAAAGTGTAGGGACCAGCAAATGGTAAGCTTGCTGAACTCCCATGTAGTCGACTGTGATTCAAGTCTCAGACCTGGCAGCTTAAAACTCACACTGGGCATGTGTGTATGTGTGTGTGTGTGTGTGTGTGTGTGTCCAAAAATCACGAAAGGATAATGGAGGAGAAGGGGTTGTGGTGTGGCCATCCCCTCAGGGGGTGGGGGGTGGGTGATTTCTTACTTTCTGTCTCTTTGTCTCTCTCTCTAGCAAGCACACATGCCCTATAGCAAAAATCTCTCATTAAAAATATGAAAGTGGCGGGAACCAGCAGTTAGCGTAATGGCTATGTCGCTGGATTCCCACGTAGTCGACCGCGGTTTGTGTCCCGGACCCGGTGGCTTAAAACTCACGCCGGGCGCGTGTGCGTGCGTGCCCAAGATCCCGAGAGGAGAATGGAGGAGAAGGGATTGCGGCGTGACCATCCCCCCTGGGGGGTGATTTCTTGCTTTCTGTCTCTATGTCTCTGTCTGTCTGGCAAGTGCATGCGCCCTACAGTGAAAAATCTCTCAAAAAAAAAAAATATGAAAGTGGGGACCAGCAGTTAGTGTAATGGCTATGTCGCTGGACTCCCATGTAGTCAACTGCAGTTTGCGTCCCGGACCCGGTGGCTTAAAAAACTCATGCCAGGCATGTGTGCATGCATGCCCAAGATCCTGAGAGGAGAATGGAAGAGAAGGAATTGCGGCGTGGCCATCCCCCCCGGGGGGTGATTTCTCACTTTCTGTCTCTATGTCTCTCTCTCTGTCTGGCGAGCGCACGCACCCTATCACAAAAACCTCTCAAAAAAAAAAACATTAAAGTGTGGTCTTCTTACTCTCTATTCTCAATGGGAAAATATTATAAACTAAAAAACACACAGCAGGCACATAACATTTTTGATTACTAGTGACCAAGGGAGATAAAGGTTAATACCTACACTCTAAAAGGATACTTCACTGCTTTCACCCAGAAGGTCAAGAGAGCTTCCTAGGTTCTGATTCCAATAATAAAGGCACAGCTTAAAATGTGCTAACTCCCACAAATGATAACTATAAATTCTATTACAAATATTATAAAGCAATTATTTAAAGGTTCTAGAAAATTACCAAAGCAGGAAGAACTAGAAGAAATATGTCCTTGGGACCAGCAATTAGCATAATGGCTATGTCGCTGAACTCCCATGTAGCCGACCGTGGTTCGAGTCCTAGACCCAGTGGCTTAAACTCACGCCGGGAACATGTGCATGCATGCCCAAGATCCCAAGAGGAGAATGGAGGAGAAGGGATTGTGGCGTGGCCATCACCCCTGGGGGGTGATTTTTCGCTTTCTGTCTCTCTGTCTCTCTGGTGAGCGCATGCACTCTATAGCAAAAACCTCTCCAAAAAAATAAAAAAACATATATATATATGTCCTTTGGGTTTTTTTTTTCCTTTTTTGGGGGAGAGGTTTTTTTCTTTTTGAAAGTAAACTAATCTCTTACTTGAGTTTTATTTTCAAGCAAAGTGATAGGCTTGTTGTACTTTTTTTCTTTCAACAGCATTTTCAGGGCTGACCCTACAGTACAGGGTTAAGTTCTTACAATTGAATTACCTATTTTCTAAGAAGACTATCAATCTGCTCAGGTTACCTTTTCACCCAAATAAGAAAAACTCAACACTTTCGTCTATGAATGTTACAGATACATAATGCTTCTGACACCAAGTGTATGAAGTATCTTCCCCATAACACCCTATTCTCCAAATCTCTGGACACAACTAGGTGTCCTACAATCCAATTAGGGCATTAGCTACCTGGAGTTAGTACAGACTGTACAGGCTAAGGGTTTAGTTCCACAGATTACCCTCACTTCAGACACAAAGCTCAACTAGTGGGGTATCTACACTGCTGTCCAAGTGGCTGCAAATCAGGGGTTCCCACAACTCTCCCCTCAGGATTGATCATTTGATATGATGACTCAGGATACTCAGAGAAACATTTATGTTTACCAGCATATTCTAAAAGATCTGATAAAGGACAGTCAGACCAACAGAGACATAGGGTGAGTTCTGAAAAGGTCCCAAGCATAGGAGTTTTGTCCTCACAGTGTTGGGATGCAATACTCTGTGGGTACATTGATGTACTTGCCAATTTGGAAGCCCTCGAAACCCATAGTTTAGGGATTTTTATGGCTTCTTCACACAAGCATGATCAACTTTTATTTTTTATCTAGGTCTTCTGACAATTCATGTCCCTAAGCCAAAAGTGCAAACCTTCTAATCATGGCTTCATCTTTGTGACCAGCCCCATCCTGAGGGACCAGACACAGTGGTAATAAAAATAATACTGCTCTGAGTCCTGAAAGTTGACAACTTCCTTGCATCAGAAAGGCTGCTCCTGGTGACTCTGTAGCTATAACCATGCCACAAAACTAATATACTGAATTACATTGTAAACACTATGGATACCGTTTGGATTACCATAAGAAAAAGAGAAAGAAGAAAGAGGCTCATGAAATTCAAAGAAGGCAAAAAAGATGATTGGTCTGAAGGTAAAGCTCTATCACAAATAGTGTCATGCTAAGAAAATACGAATGAAAAGACTATCAAGATGCATGAAAAGAACACCAGAATGATGAAAAGTCTCCACAAGGAATAGTACCTGCCTATCTGCTGGACAGAGAAGAACAGTCCCGAGCTAAAGTACTTTCAAATATGACTAAACAAAAATGGAAAGAGAAAACAGGAAAATGGGAAGTACCTCTACCCAAAGTTTAAGCCCAGGGAAAAACAGAAGTATTAAAAGTTATTCAAACAGGAAAGAGAAAGAAGAAAACATGGAAGAGGATGGTTACAAAAGCCTGCTTTGTTAGAGATGGGTTTACTAGAAAACCGACTAAATATGATAGATTCATTAGGCCAATGGACTTATGTTTCAAGAAGGCCCACATAACAAATCCTGAACTGAAAACCACCTTTTGTCTGCCAATACCTAGTGTAAAGAAGAACCCCTCATCCTCACTATATACAACTTTGGGTATTACCACCAAACGTATTGTCATTGAGGTGAACATGAGTGAATTGGGTATTGTGACACAAGGAGGCAAGGTTATTTGGAAGAAATATACCCAAGTTACCAAGAATCCTGAAAATGATGGATGCATAAATGCTGCCTTTCTGGTTTGACAGCAGTTTCATACAAGTAACTCCCTGTAATTTTTGAAGATGATACACCAATCTGGAAAACCACTATGACTGTGATGTTTCTGAATATAGTCAGTCTTACATGCCTACAGTCATCAAAAGATTATTTATTAAATTGTACAAAAACATTAAAGTGGCCTGGTTTTACAAGTGAAATAAATAAGTAAAATAAAATACAATGCTGTGAAAAGGTAAAGCACACGCAAAAGTTCCCAGTTCAATCCTGGAGACCTCCCTGAGTCTGCCAGGCATGCACTTGCCTACAATCTGAGGCTGACTGCAACATGGTGACTCTGTTAGGGTGCCATCTCTGTCTTTCTGAAAAATGAACTTAAAAAAAAAAGTAACCCTAATCGAGCAAAAGATGCTCCTATCATCAGGACATTCAAATAAATTAGGCACTCTACATCAGAAACTGAGGTCAAAGACCAAATATTAGGACAAAAAAATGCTTCTTTATCACTTAGGAAAGTACAAGGGTTTTAGTAGCTCTGAACAAGGAACAAGGATAAAGATCAAATGTGTATTTTTTTTTGTAGTATCATATCATGTCACCACAACATATTTTTATTGCAATTTGATTACAGGTTGAAGCTTAAACAGTGGTTTATACCAAATGCATTTCAGGTGAACTAGTCGCTAAGGGCATGTGGGAATGCACATCAGATGGAAAAGCCATCCTTAAATCCAACTTCTAGACAGTTTACCTGAGACTGAGGTGCAGTTGATGGTATTTTGACACTAGTGACCTACAATTCTAAAAGGCCTGAGTATGTTGGACCTTATCTTCTTGACTCTTTTCTTCTAATATCACATGTATCCATCTTATTCCAATAAGACTTCAGCATTATCCACTAAACACAAAAGCTAGACATGAACTTATATATATATATATATAGGAATAGCTGCTGTACCCTACTGTTGGTCCACTTAAAATCTCACAAGAGCCTCAGGTTATAACATATCGGGTAAGTCCCCCTCCTCGGACCTCTGATAGTCTCCGGCAGTGTCGTAAAATATTCAGTAACACATGAAATTTCTTGTCAACTTTCAAAGCTGTGAACTCCTTTATGTCAGCTTCCACTATAAAATAATGACCTGAAAATACAAATAACTTGAATGAGGTCAACTTTCCAAATGAGCCGTTAATGCATTAAATTGTAAATAAGTAGCATTAATCAATTTTTACTGTTGCTATTTAATAAACAAAAGCTTGGTATTCTTGCTAAAAAATAATTGTTCTATCAACTGAAGTTATGTAATACCTACTTAGCATTTCAGAATTGTAGCCCTGTTTATTAGATTACTAGCTACCTGTTGGTATCTCTTGAACAATTCACTTTTCAAGAGGCAATACAGTTAAAAGAATGAAACCACAGCAGCTCTGTTACTTAGCTGGATGATCTCGGGCAAGTAAGTTAAGCTCTCTACCTAGTCAGCAAAAAATGGGGTAATAACAGTACCTCCCCTTTCAGGATGTTGTGAGGAAAGCTCATAGTGAACGATCTGGTACACTGTAAACACTATATAGGCACAACCAACTGTGATCATTACTATCCTAATTCTCAAAACATCAGGTATGTTGCCACAGTATAGTTCCACAATACACTCTAACACAGCATTTCTCATATTCAGCACTTTAGACATTTTAGGTCAGATCATTCATCTTGTAGGGACTGTGCTATAAACTACAGGGAGTTTTATTAGCATCTCTGGCCTCTGACTACTAGGTTCTTGGAGTACCCCAGTCCTAGCTTTAATAACCAAAAATGTCTCCAGACCTGGAAAAATGTCCCTAGTAGGAAAACTGTCCCTGATTAGGAATTAATACAACAGAATTTTTGAGAAATATCTTTGTTTTGGGAACCAGCAGGTGGCATAGTGGTTAAGGTACTGGACATTCCCAAATGGCCAAACACAGTTCGAGCCCTGGACCTGATGGTTTGCTTGTTCACTTTCTCTCTCTCTCTGTCTCTCTCTAGTCAAATTAAAATAAATGAATAAACAAAAAAATTTAAATAAAATAATTTTTAAAAAAATACTTTTGTTTCTCATGATATAGTTAAACTCCAAATAGCTGACAAATATATATGCTATCAGTTTACCTTTGGTATCCTTTGTTTCTTCATCAATAAATCTGTGATAGAGATTTCTGGCCACAGAATTCATAGACTTTTTTGGCTGATGTAGGATCTTATATTTACTAATTACTGCCTTGTTGATTTCTTTAATAACATCATTAATTTGAGAATAGGTTAAACGTGATTTCATGTACCTATAAAAAAGCATACGGTTTATTATTTTTTTAATAAAGAAATTTTTATCATACAAAATTACTGTGAAAAACATTATGTGTGATGACTTTGTACAACAGAATACTATAGAGTCTTTTATAAAAAGAATTTTATATCAATTTCCAAATAAACCAGACACATCTCAAGAGTAAAAAAGTTAAACAGGAATGACAACATAACAGTACTTATTTTCCCCAATACGGTTTAGAAGCATTAATTTCCATTCTCTATTTAATGGAGAATTAATATTATAATTTAAAATAAGCTTTCCAACTCTGATTCATACATACTTATTAACTGTAAGACTGAAGTTTATTTAAACATTTTCAAATGTTTGTGAGCAAAGGAAAGAAAATATAAATTAGGGGCTAGGGGTGGCTGGCAGGGGACATAGTGGTAAAGATGTTGGATTCTCACATGGCCAACTGCAATGAGTCAAGTCCCAGACCTGGGAGCTTGAAACTCACGGGGGGCATGTGAGCATGCATGCCCAAAATGCTAGGAGGAGAATGAAGAAAAGGGATTGTGGTGTGGCCATCTCCCCTGGAGGGCGATTTGTCACTTTCCCTCTCACTGTCTCTCTGGCAAGCATATGTGCCCTATGGCAAAAATCTTAAAAAGAGTTAGGGTTTGGACAGTGAGATGGAGATAAAATGTAGTACTGCTTTGCAAGGCTGACCCACATGGGAAGGTTCCAGGTTTATGACTGGAGACCTCACTGAGTAAGCCATGCATATATGTGCCCTCGATCTGGAGCTAGCTCTAGCTGAGGGTGGATTATGGCATCAAGACCCTGTTGGGGGTACTGTCTCTCTCTGACTCATGGAAGAAATAAGTGAACTTAAAAAAACAAAGAAAAGAAATTATATAACTCACAGCATTCTAGTCTGATGCAAAAACAATTATCAGTTCAGAGAAAGGAGAAAACACCAGAAGGAAATGGAGGAAAAAAATGAAGGACAACAAAGATGAAAATGAAGATTAAGACAAGGAAAAACTGATGGGCAAAGGATGCAAAGAAATGAAAAGGTTCTGAATTTGGGAACCAGCAGTTAGCGTAATGGCTATGTGGCTGGACTCCCACGTAGTCGACCGCGGTTCACGTCCCAGACCCAGTGGCTTAAAACTCACACCGGGTGCGTGTGTGTACGTGCCCAAGATCCCGAGAGGAGAATGGAGGAGAAGGGATTGCGGCGTGACCATCCCCCCTGGGGGGTGATTTCTCGCTTTCTGTCTCTATGTCTCTGTCTGTCTAGCGAGCGCATGTGCCCTATAGCGAAAAACCTCTCCAAAAAAAAAAAAAAAAAAAGGTTCTGAATTTAAGATGCAAGGGCAGAGGAGACCACATTCTTTTTTCCTCCATTTCTCCATCTGGTCAGGACTTTCAGCACATATGCACACACATCCAGCATGTTTTTCAAGCCACAGGGATGGGATCTGAACTGCAATCAGTCATGTGCGATCCAGCTCCTAATGTACAGCGCTTAACCACCATCCAATGGGGCCAGCCCTATATAACTATTAAAATCCAAGTTTTCAGGAGCAGTAGATGGCATAATGGTTACATCGCTGGACATAGTTTGAGTTCTGGACCTGGTAGCTTAATGCTCACACCAGGCACGTGTGCATGCATGCCCAAGATCCCAAGAGGAAAATGGAGAAGGGACTGTAACGTGGTCATACTTCCTTAGGGCTAATTGTTGTCTTACTCTCTCTCTCTCTCTCTCTGGTGAGCGCACATGCTCTATAGCAAAAATAAATAAATAAATAAATAAAACTCTCTAAAAACAAAACAAAAAAACAAGTTTTCAATCATAGTCTAAAATGGAAAAGTACCCATATTAAAAATAAGTAATCTTGCAGCCAGCAGATGGCATAGCAGTTGTATCACTAGACTCCTACATGGACACCTGCAGCTTGAGTTTCAGACTCAGTGGCTTAAAAATTACCCCAGACCTGTGTGCATGCATGCCCAAGATCTCAGAAGGAGAACAGAGAAGAAGGGAGTGTAACATGGCCATCCTCCCTGCGGGCTGATTTCTCGCTTTCTGTCTCTCTGTCTCTCTGGCAAGCGCACATGCCCTATAGCAAAAATCTCTCCCCCCCCATAAAAAGAAGTATTCTATATTTATATTATAACTATACCTTGGTAATAATTATCAGAAATACCTGTAATACATGTTTAATTTAATAAAATCTAGAAAGAAATGTCCTTTCTTATCTGAATAGGAAAATTACAGATGAGTTTGATTTCCTGACATGAAATGCTTTTTAGAAACAAATATTATTTGTATAATAAAAAAAAAAAATAGAAAACAAGAAATGTAACATAAAATAAAGTTTAGAAATTAAGCAAAGCCCTGGAATTATGAGAGTTAAAAAACATGGATTTTTATAACTGGTCCCCATTATGAAAAAGAAAAGGAGACTTTCTTCTGGAGGAGGCATCTAATCATATTCATTCCTGTATTCTCCTCAGTGACCCAAGAATACATCACAGACACAAAAAAAGTATATAGTACAAGGGACAAAAGTAAACCAAACACACAAAACATTATCCTCTGTAATTCTCAAATCCACACAATACACTCAGTTTCCTTAAAATTACAGCAAACTAAGGCTACTTCTAGGGCTGGCAGGTGGCATGGTAGTTAAGGGCACTGGACTCCCACATGGCCGACAGCAGTTCGAGTCCTGGACCTAGTGATTTACTTTCTCACTTTCCCTCTCTCTCTCTCTCTCTCACTCTGACCCTCTCTGGTTAAATAGAAAGAAAGAAAGAGAGAGAGAGATAAAGGGAGAGAGAAAGAAAGGGAGAAAAGGAGAGAGGGAGAGAGAAAGAAAGTTAGTTAAATAAAATAATTCTTAAAAAAAAAAAAAACTAAGGCTACTTGAAAATGTAATCAGTAGGCTGGCTTGCTCCATGGCTCAGCAATAATACGTCGCTCAAGAGAAGCAGGATCTGGGCCAGCCCCATAGCCTACTGCTTTAAGGGAGCAATATCCTACCTGGCCAACTGTAGTTCAAATCCAGGCTCCAGTGGCTTGAAAAATATGTCGGTTACATGTGTTCCTAAAATCCCATCACATCCTGATAGGATGGAGAAATGGAGAAGGGATTGCGGCATGACCATTGACGGTGGGTGTTCTCTCCCTCCCTGTTTCTTAGAGTAAGCACACATTCTCTGGTAATTTTAAAAAAAAAGAGAGACAGGACCAGCAGTTGGCGTAATGGCTATGTCGCTGGACTCCCATGTAGTCAACTGTGGTTCAAGTCCCGGACCTGGTGGCTTAAACTCACGCTGGGTGCATGTATGTGTGTGCCCAAGCTCCCAAGAGGAGAATGGAGGAGAAGGGATTGTACCGCAGCCATCCTCCCTGGGGAGTGATTTATCGCTTTCTGTCTGTCTCTGTCTTTCTGGTGAGCACACGCACCTTATAGCAAAAACCTCTCAAAAAAAAAAAAGAGAGAGAGAGAGAAAGAGAAATTGGATCCCACATGGTGACCATGGTTCAAATCTCTGGGCCAGTCAGCCTTAAAAACACCATGCATGTGGCAACCACTAGAAGGCTATAAGAAGAGGATCGTGACGTGGCGTGACCAGATCTTATGGAGAGTGTTCCTCCTCTCTCTTTACTCTTTCTCGCATGTGTATACACACACACACTCTATCATAATTTAAAAATATATATAATTTGTAAATCTGTATCACATACAAAAAAATTAGCAGATATGGAAGGTGAGCACTGAGGTTATTAATGTAATGGTTTAAAAGATTTGAAAGAATTCCTAAATACACTGTAGAGATCTATGGTATCAAGAGTTTGTGAAAACTATAGTTAGAAACAATGCCATGTTGGGCCTAGATGGTATGGCAGTAAAACCTGGTGGTCTCCACGGATGACCCACATGGGAAGGTTCTACCTTCACACCTAGAGCTATATGAAGCTGGAGGAGGATCGCAGCATCAAGACCCTGTTGGGGATACCTTCCGTCTCTTTCTCTTTTTTGATCATAAAAGAAATATATAAACTTTAAAAAAAACATATATAAAAAGAAATAAAAGAAAAGGAAAGGAAAAACAAGGCACAGAAACGAGTTTAGAAAAGAGAGGGAAAAGAAGTCCAAGTTAGGTCTTGAGAGAACCTTACCAATAAAAAGATTTATCTCTAGATATCTCTACAAAAAGAGATTTTACAAAAACCAAAGTATCTTCAAAAATTTTTCTGCCTTTTCATAGTACAGTGTAAAACTATTCTTTTTTAGAGAGAGATTTTTGCTATGGGGCGCATGCACTCACCAGAGAGACAGAAAGTACAAATCACCCCCCAGGAGGGATAGCCACGCTGTAATCCCTTCTCCTCCATTCTGGACACACACACACATGCACCCAGCATGAGTTTTAAGCCACCAGGTCTGGAACTCAAACTGCAGTCGATTATGTGGGAGTCCAATGATGAAACCATCCCACCATCTGCTGGTCCCAATGTAAAACTATTTTAAAGCTCAAAAAAAAAACTATTTTAAAGCTCAATGTTCGAACACATTTGACATATTGTAATTAATATAATTAAGATTTATGACCTCAACAATCACATATGTTGGTTATTAAAGAGCTGAAGATTCAAATTTATCTTAAGTACTTACGCAGGAACACTATCAAACTCATCACAAGTTATAAATGGCATTTCTTTAATACTTCTTTGTTCTTTTGGCAGCTTCTTTGTGGGTGCAGGTTCCTCAACTTTGACTGGTTCTTCAGGGTCAACATCTGATTCTTTAGCCCTACAGAATAAAGATGAACATACGTTCAGGTAATCATCCAGTTTTTCTCAATTGAAAATAATCAATATTAAATATGATTCATCCTGTAATGATTTTTTTATATTTTGCTAAAGGGCACATGTGCCAGAGAGAGAGAGAAAGTGAGAGAGCATCCCTCAGGGGGACGGCCATGCTGCAATCCCTTCTCCTCCGTTCTTCTCTTGGGATTTGGAGTGCACATGCACATGCATCTAGCTTGTACTTCGAGTGGCCGGGTCTAGGACTCGAATTGCATAGTCACTTATATGAAATTCAGCTCTCTTAACCACTACACCACTGGCTGGCCCCATCCTGTTACGATATTTATAGCCAGCATTTTTCTCTATCTCTATACCTATTGTTCATAAACATCTAAATAGCGAAGAGAATGTTGAGAAATTAAGTCCCCATATCCTCAGTTACATTGATGTATATGTTCAAAATATGGTCTATGTGGTACATACACTAGACATCTTCATCAGTTGTCCAACTGCTCCTCAAAGTCATCATATGTAAAGTTGAACATAACTGAACGGCTTTACTTCCTGACTTCCCCCATTCTGAACCTGGAAGAATCCCTATAGACTTTTTATTTTAGAGATGCTTTTGTTACATGGCATGTACACTTGCTGAAGAGACAAAGAAAAAGAAACCAAGAAATCACCACCCAGGAAGATAGCCATGCTGTAATCCTTTCTTCTCCATTCTGTCAGGATTTTAGCACACACACCCACATGCCCATTGTGAGTTTCAAGCCACTGGGTCCAGAACTCAAACTGCAGTCGACCATGTGGGAGTCCAGCACCTTAACCACTACACTACCTGCTGGCCCCCTTAGACTTTTATTTATACTAGTTTATCATTATGGTTGTAAATGCTAGTCCCCACCTATTGCAGACTCATTTTAATTGCCAGCAATGAGCATCAGTCACCCTCGGATACAGTCTGCCCAGATTTTTAAGTCAGTGAGAAGGCTACTAATATAGCTCCTACCCCACCAGCAAATGGAATCTAGGGCCCCAGCAGGTAGTGTAGTGCTTAAGGCACCAGACTTCCATGTGGCTGATCATGGTTCAAGTCCCAGACCCAGTGGCTTTAAACTCATGCCAGGAGTGTATGTGTGCATACCCCAGATCCCAAGAGGATAATAGACAAGAAGGGATTGCAGTGTGACCATCCCCACTGGGGCATGATTTCTCACTTTCTCTTTCTGCCTCTAAAAAATTCTCTTTCTGTCTCTGTCTCTTCGGCAAGTATACATGCCCTATAGCAAAAAATCTTTCTTGTAAACAAACAATGACAAAACAAACAAACAAAAATGTCTCTAAAAATGGAGTCTGGAAACAGACTAGTTTCTAGGCTGCTTATCTTCCAGGTATGGAAAAGATGTTTGTTGCTAGCAGTGAGTCAAGCCATAGTGAAGGGAATCCCCAGGAAGAAAGAATGTTAGATGCTAAGATGACAGCTGAGCATGAAACAGAGGGTAACCAGGCCTGACGGTGTGATTCAGGAGACGGTTATGTTGCAAACTGTTGATTCACAATAAAGATGCCCAATGCTACGGTATCACCACCTTGTGGGACTCCTAACATGAGACTCCATCATGAGATTGGCTCATTGCTACCTGTACTTGCTTATCTTGACCATGTGGTAAGGATGCACTTAATTTTTCCTCATTCCCTGATTATGTATGTCAGTTGAAAAGAGTCAGTTCAAACAACAGAAAGCTTCTGCTTTATCTAGCCCTAAGAGCTAAAGCAAGGCCATAGTGAGCTTAGGGGAAGAAAATCTTCCCATTTCTCTGGTCACATTCCTATTAGATGTCCAACATCTGGCCCACCTAATAATTATGGTAGAAATTCTATGATGACCTACCTTTTTCCCTATCACTCACTCACAAGCCTGTCCACTAATATTCTCCTCCAGCAGGGAAATTCCAGGTCCCTGACCATGCTTAGGAAATCTGTTGCACTTCCTTTCCTAGAGACCTTCAACTATCTGCAATAACATGGCTCTTTTCCTGTACAGCAAAGTTCACGCTTGCCTTTCAGTTTCTCAAATTTAAATAGCATATAGTTTATGGAAACGCACAGATAGAAGCATGATTATCATAACATCAAGAAAGTGATTACCTCACCTCTCTGATAAAGGGAGGGAACGCAAGAGAAATAAAGTATTGATAATGTCTTAGTTCTTAACCTGGCTGGTAGATAACATAGATATTTGTTTTATTATTATCCTTTAATTTGCTACTAAGAAAATGGGGTGATAGTAAAGAAGACAAAATTTCAAAAACGAAACAGTGGTAAACAAGATGAAATCTGAAGGGCAAGATCAGAGTTGAAGAGGGATTGTGGACCTCTATGTGATCTTCAAACACTCGGTTTAAAAAGTGGTTGCAATTGGCAGTCGAAAGCTAGCAGTAGGGCCTCTGGGAAAAAGGCAAAGCACAGACATACATATACTATCAGTGAACAGACAAAAAGGACATTAGTTCCGGGAGAAAAAAGAGCTAAGGTTATTGTTCCTTTGGCTATGTTTTTTTTTGGAGAGGTTTTTGCTATAGGGTGCATGTACTCGCCATAAAGACAATGAGAAACAGAGAAAGAAAGCAAGAAATCATCCCCCAGGGGGGATGGCCATGCTGCAATCCTTCCTCCTCCATTTTCCTCTTGGGATTTGAGCACACACGTACACACATGCACCCGGCATGAGTTTAAGCCACCAGGTCCGGGACTAGAACTACAGTTGACTACATGGGAGTCCAGGGACATAGCCATTACGCCAACTGCTGGTCCCCCTTTGGCTATTATTAAGATGAAAAGTTCATTAAATTAATTTTCACCCTAAAGCAGTGGTCCTCAAGGGTCAAGGGAGATTTTGCCCGAAGAGGTCATTTGGCCATATCCGGAGACATTTCTCATTGTCACAGTTGGGTAGTGGAGGGGGATGTTATTAGAATCTAGTGAGCAGAGATCAAGGAGGTTATGAACTGTTCTAGTGTCGAGACAAAGAATTATCCAGCTTAAAATGTCAATAGAGCTGAGATCAATTAACCACTCTAAGGTGAAGAACTCAGTGGAAACAGAGAGCCTAGATATTTACCTTTGGGAAACAAGGGATCACGTTTTTCTCAGGGACAAAAACTAAGAAAACTGATGAAGATAAGGGGAAATACTGTTTCTAATGTAAGTGACCAAAAAACTGGATAATCAGTGCCAAGATTCCAAGTACATGGAAGAGTAAAAACTTTGAGGAATTTGTCTTCGTGGATTTAAATCCAGATAGCATGAATAATTAAAAATCTACTTACGTGCTCTGGGTTACTGTTACTTGAGGCAAATGGAGAGGAATGTTCTCTTTGAGATGTTCTACATCTTTATAATCTTCTTCGAGAGATTCACAGAGTTCCTAAAATTAAAAAGAAATGCTCACAAATAAGCCTCTCTCCACCCTGTGTATGTTTTAAGACATTATAGTGGACATTTATAGCCTCGTGGTTAAGGCAATCAGATCCCACAAGGTCAACTGTGGTTTAAATCTCACACCCAGTGGCTTGAAAAATATGCCAGTCACAAGTGTGTGCATGCCTCAATAGCATGGAGAAATGGAAGAGAAGGGATTGCAGCAAGACCACACCCCATGGCAGGAAGAGAGGTTTTTCCTACAACTCTCTCTGGTGAGCAAACATATCCCCTGACAATTAAAAAAAGAGAGAGACATCACTTTTCAGCCTTTTGGCTAAGATCAAGTGTAAAAAAAGAGAGAGTGAAAAGGAAAGACTATAACCATAATCACAGTAACTCTAAGTGTTGAGAAGACATAATGAAATAGAAAAACCCTGAATGCTATAGTATAAAAGCCCTAGGGCCAGCAGGTGGCATGGTAGTTAAGGTGCTAGACTTCCAGTTATATCACTGGACTCCCACATGGCCAACCACAGTTCAAGTCCTGGACCTGGTGGCTTGAAACTCACATCGGGCACATGTGCATACAAGCCTAAAAGAATAGAAAAGGGATTACAGCATGGCTAAATCTAGGGCGTGATTTTTCACTTCTCTCTCTCTCTCTCTTTCTCTCTCTGGTGAGTACACACACCCTAAGGCAAAAACCTCTTTAAAAAAAAAAAAAAAACACAAGTGGCACTTTATAACATTAATAATATACAAAGTCAAAGAACATTATAAATGTAAAGAATCCTTAAACGAGCAAGCTCATGGCCCACTGGTTAAGAAGCTTGGATCTCACAGGGCCAACCATGTGGTTTGAATCTGACTTGTCTTGAAAAGCACACCAACTTTGTGTGCATACCCAAAATCCAGAAAGGAAGAAGCAACGGAGGAAACAGAACTGCAGCATGACTATGCCCCATGCGTTGCTTTTTCACTTTCCCTCTCTCTCTTTCTCATCACTGCTGTGAGTGCACACACCCTGTGGCAAAGTAAAAAATAATAATAATTATTTAATGATTAGGAAATTTGTATTTATTGCTTTTTCACTTTGTTTCTTCATTAGAAAAACAGTACCTTGAGTGAGCTGTTGGTTTGTTCTTGATATTGAATTTCCAATTCCAATTTATTCAGAAGTTCATTTACTACAATGATCTCATCTCCTATTTTATGTAACATAGACTTCAAAGTGGGCTCTTGACCTATTATAAAGATCAAATGGGGAACCAGCAGTTAGCATAATGGCTATGGCACTGAACTCCCATGTAGCTGACCATGCTTCAAGTCCCAGACCGGTGGCTTAAACTCACGTCGGGCGCGTGTGCGTGCATGCCCAAGATCCTGAGAGGAGAATGGAGGAGTAGGGATTGCAGTGTGGCCAACCCCCTGGGGGTTGATTTCTCGCTTTCTATTTCTCCGTCTGTCTCTGTCTTTCTGGTGATCACACACACACCCTACAGCAAAAACCTCTCCAAATAAATAAATAAATAAATAAAATGGGAAACAAAGTATATAAAAAAGTAATAATGTATAAGTACCCATGAGAACTCTTGGGACAGAGAACTGTACTTTAGTGTCTGAGTCTGTTATTGGGTTGCTAACAAAAATACCTGACGCTAGTGACTTTCTAAAGAAATATAGGTTTATTCAACTCACAGTTTGGAGGCCCAGGATCCAATTTCCACTGGTTACAGCACTACTGAGGGTGGAATCGTAAGCAGAGCACAGTGTAGTCTGTATCTGTAACCTCTGCCTGTCTCGTTTCCTCTCTTTATACACACACCAGAACTAAACCGTAGAGTTCTAGTTACTCAGTCACTAATCTTATCTCAAAAGTCCCTAATGAGATTTAATCATTACAACAGCTGAACATCTGAATGGGGGGAGGGCAGAGATAAGTCATAACACTTATTTTGAGACATTGGGTTTGGAAAAAGGAATATTGCCTCAGCCCCTAGTAATTCTCTCTCTTTCTCTCTCTCTCTCTCTCTAAGTTTATTTCTTCCATGAGTGAGAGCCAGAGACAGAGAAAGCACCCCTAACTAGTTCTGGATGCCAAGATTCATCCACTGCCAGCTCAGGATCATGGGTAAGTATGTGCCTGGCATACTCAGGAAGGTCTTCTGATTTGAATCATGAGCTTTCCCATGTGGAACTCTCAGAGCCTTGCATTTTACCCTGTACCACTTCAGGTTTTGTTGTTTTGTTTTGTTCCCCTTTTAGTACTTCCATTTAGCTCTAGAACCACAAATATCCACATAACCTGCAAATTTGACTACTGGTCTATGTGTCTCAGAAGAAGATAAATAAATAAATCTAACTAATACCTAGCTCTTCATTCTTTTTTTTTGGGGGGGGGGGGGGGGGGAGTTTGCCATAGGGCATGTGCGCTCGCCAGACAGACAGAGAGAGACAGAGAGACAGAAAGTGAGAAATCACCCCCCAGGAGGAATGGCCACACCACAACCCCTTCTCTTCCATACTCCTCTCGGGATCTTGGGCATGCACGCACACACGCCCAGCGTGTTTTAAGCCACCGGGTCCAGGACTCGAACCGCAGTCGACTACATGGGAGTCCAGTGACATAGCCATTACGCTAACTGCTGGTTCCCCTAGCTCTTCATTCTAGGTCTTTTGCATTTTCAGTATCCTCTGCAATATTCAAAATCATGACACTAAAGTGTTTTTAAAATCACCATTTGAAATCTAAAATTACCTTTCTAAGATACATCATCTTAAGCAGGCACAAGATATCAAAGTGGAGCAATAATCAAAATGTATTTTCTGTATACAAAGTCAGTTGGCTGTTTTACTTACCACAGTTTCTTAATGACAAAGTTTTTTTAATATTGCTAATCTTTTCATTAACATGAGAGCATAACCGTTCCAGATCGGAGGACGCCATCCTTTAAGCCTCTGAAGAAAAAACAAACACATTTGTACAAAAAGTCAGAAAAATTTCAGTCCGATTTCAAAATCTGAGAATGGTGAATATGCAGTAAATCACATTTCCTTGAAAGAAAAAGAAAAACTTTTAAGGGCAATTTTTTTGAATTCTACATAATTCAGTTTCTAAACAAATTCCGAGCGCTTCCTGTAGTCAATGGATCCCAAACCAGGGTACAGGGCACAAACTTGGGGTAACTTCCCTAAGGATTTAGGAGTTCGAAAGCAAAAGATAACATTGGGGTTTTTTGTTTGTTTTTTTTTTAGAAATGCAAAATATATGCGCATTTTAAAGAAACACACTATAATTTCAAAGAAACAGGCCCAGGTAAGCATTTTTCCCACGCCTTGGGGGTTTGGGCTTTACAGCCTGGGATTGGAAGGAGGCGCAGAGAAGGGAAGAACTCCGTTACTGTTCACCCCGAGGGTCAGTGAGGTGGGCCGGTATAAAGCGTCCACTCCCGCCAAACTCCCGAAGGAATGCCAAGGCCCGGCCTCCGCTCGGCGCGCCCGGCCGCGGATCCCCCACCCGCCCAGCGACGACCCCAGCTGCCTCCGAGGTAAGAATCCCAACGCCAGACTCCAACCTCTCGTGAGTCCAGGAGCAAAGGGCACACTACTCGCCGTTATGGCGCAAACCGTGGACACCTCAGTTTCAGCCGGAAGTCCGTGATCACTAGACGCGACTCTGGGAACAAAATTCAAACTCCGCGCCTCCCGCCGGCGTCGCGCACGCGCACGACCGCGCTCCCAGCAGGCCAACTCTGCTACAGCTCGCGTTTCCGCCGTCATCCGGGACCACAGTGGGGAGGGCAGTGAGCGGCCGGGGTGGAGCCATGGGCGGGACGGGGAGGGCCATGGGCTGGTCGTGGGCGGGGCCGGGCCGGGGTATTAGCGGAACGAAGACGGGACAGGATTGGGTGGAAGGCTGCCAGGCGGATGCCCCGCCTACGCAGGGCCGTCACAGGAGATCTCAATTGATCACTCAGTCTTGCCTGCCTCCCAGCCATTAGCCAAGAGCTTGTGGGGCTAAAATAGCCAGCCAAAATAGTGGTTCTCTAAATTTCCTGCACATCAGACACTCAGGAGATGAGGCCCAAGCCATTATATATTTTTAAAACACCCTAGGTAATTTCTTTTACTTCTTTTAAGAATTTTTTTTTATTTTTAATTTTTTTTTTCACATGAGTTTTGCTAGAGAAAGAGAGAGGGTGAGTGAGAAAGCAAGTCGCCACGTCCAGGACTCGAACCACAGTCAGCCATGTGGGAATTCCAGCACCTTAACCACCATGCCACCTCCTGCCCCCACCCCAGATAATTTCACCCAAGTGTGTGAGCTAAAAGATACAGAACCTGTCTTTGTGGAGCTTACAGTGAACAAAGTTAAAATGAGAAAAGCCAAAGTTTAATTCCCCTTGTTGAAAAACAAAGAGAAAAGCATCCTAGGGCTGGAATGACAGCTCTATGTCATCAAGTAGCAAGTTCTTCCAGTCTTTTGGCTCAAAGTAAGTTTGTTATTCCTGTAGCGTAAAAATCCATGCTTCAGGATTTGACAAACTTGAAAAGCGTCTTCAGCATCCTGTTGGTTGTGGAAGCAAACCAAGCAAAAAGTCATCAAGATATATCTTGACAAGGTAGCTGTCCAATTTGTTCAACTTTGAAGACTTGGTTTGGATACATGCAGTTGGGCCCTATTGTGGAGAAGAAATGGGCCCTTTCTGTTGACCACTACTGGCTGCTGGCATTGCAGTTTTCGGTACATCTCATTGAGGCTGAGTGTCCTTGGAGGTAGTGGTTTCACAGGATTCAGAAAGCTGTAGTGGATCAGACCAGTGGCAAATCACCAAGCAGTGACCATGGCCTTTTTTATTGGTGCAAGTTTAGCTTTGGGAAGTACTTTCGGAGCTTCTTCTTAGTCCAACCAATGAGCTGGTTGTCACATAAAATTCACTTTTTGTTGCACATCATAATCTGATCAAGAAATGGTTCATTGCATAGGATAGTAGATGACACTTTTAAAACGACGATTTTTTTTAAATTTCAGCCAGCTCAAGGACCAGCAGATGGTGTAATGGTTACATCGCTGGACACCCAAGTAGTCAATTGCAGTTTGAGTCCCAGACCTGGCGGCTTGAAACTCATGCCAGGCACGTGTGCGTGCGTGCCCATGATCCAAAGAAGAGAATGGAGGAGAAGGGATTACAACATGACCATCCGCCCCTGGGGGCTAATTTTTCGCTTTCTGTCTCTCTGTCTCTCAGCGAGTGCACGTGTACTATAGCAAAAACCTCTCAAAAAATTTTCAGTCAGCTCATGAGGCACCCACTTACAGAGCTTTTTGCCTTTCCAATTTGCTTCAAATGCTGAACAGCTGGAGAACAGTCAACATTGAGTTCTTCACAAACTTCTCGTGTAGCTGGAAGAGGATCAGCTTTGATGATTGCTCTCAATTGGACATTTTCAGCTTCCAGTGGCTGCCCATTGTGCTCCTCATCTTCAAGGTTCTCATCTTTTTTCATAAAATTTCTTGAGCCACCCTACATTATACATTCATTAGCGATTTCTGTTGTTTATAAACCATAAAGCCTATGGTATTCTGAATGAATTAAAATAGTGAAATTTCTGGAGTGTCCAAAAAGTCAAAGAACTCCCTTCTACTCAGTTCCCACCCATAAAATGAAAGTTCTGCCCCAGGTGTGGCAAGGCAAGACTACCAGGGCCCAGGCCAACGAAGCCACGTGGGAAGGTACAGGTTTGTGTCCTGCGGTCCTCTATACACCGATTGTGCACAGGTGCCCATGTCTGTGATCCTAGCTGGATGTGCCTAGGTGTGAGTCATGTCATGAAGACTCTGCTGGGTCTCTCTCTCTCTCTCTCTCTGTCTCAACAAAAATGAAAGGCTACTAGGGCCCCTCACTTCAGCTCACTCACAGGGTAGAGAAGTTCCATGTTAGGAGAGACAAGCCAAGACTAGAGGCTACCATCTCCATTTAGCATACAGAGCAGTGGTTCAAAGGTTTTGAAAAGTGGAGAGAGGCAGCCTTTAAGAACATAGGTTTTTCAAGCTCTGTAGAATTTGTCAGGGTAGGCAGATAATCAGACATGAGCAGGGAAGGGAGACTCTAGAGACCCATGGCACTGCCCGTGGGAAACACCCCAAATTGCCCTATTTGTAGTTTTGTGAGAAAATTTGGCTACTCAAGATAGGGGGCAGCAGAGAAGAGTTTATTTAACTTAGAACATATTCAGTATTGAAACTAGGGACTTACATAACTTGACGAGACTTTATGTACCTTGGCGCATGCTCAGTACTGAATTTGGTTGCCCTCAAGTAACCTTTAACTCATTAACATATCTTTTGCATTGACTCATGGGAAATTATAAAACAAGGCTGAACTGAGCATGTACTGAAGTAAAAGGGGGAGGAGCCAAGATATAAAAGCATACAGAAACCTGAATGCTGGTATCCCCTCCTGGAGTCAGCCTGCTTCTACTTCTCAGGAGTGTAATTTCACTTTCACTTTTCTCTGCTTTGTACTTTTATTTTACCCTGTTATAAAGCTTTATTGTTCCACTATAAGGCTGTCTCTTGGCTGAATTCTCTCCCTCAAAAAGACAAGAATGAAGGTATTCATCTCCACACTAACAAATGAAACTGAGTTCATTTAAAACAGTGGGGAAGTTCAGGTCTAAGGGTCCCCTTGAAAACAATGAAGATTTTGGTGTAAAGCAAGGAAGAGGATGTCATTAGCTCCACTTAATTAGGCAGAACATTGTAAACTCTGTGGCAGCCAGTTCATCATACAGAACCAGAAAAAGAGACAGCTGGGACCAGCAGTTAGCATAATGGCTATGTCGCCGAACTCTCATGTATATCTAGCGAGTGCATGCACCCTATAGCAAAAAAACTCTAAAAAAAAAAAAAAAAAACTACTGCTGCCTGACTTCTGGCATGGCATTCTGGAGAGCTCCACTGACCCTATCCCCAACAAAATTGTGTAAAGTATTAAGCGACCATACAAAGCCTCTGAAATTATCCCAAGGGCAAACAGAAAATGAAGAAACATTAACTATAATATGGCCTCCTTCTTACAAAAGTATTTCTTTCTCTGTAGCTATTTCTTAATCACATACATGATAACGAAGTTGTTTGAAAGGATGTTCAACTAATAACTATGATTACTTCTGAGTAGAATGATATGGTTCAATTTTTTTTCACTCACATTTTGATTCACTCTGAATTTTTCTATGGAGCATCTATCATTTGAATGAAAAAGCAATTCAGCATGAGTTTTCTTTTAAAAAGGAAGTTGAGGCCCAGCCCCATGGTGCAGTGCTTAAGGAAGTCAGATCCCATGCAACCTTATCATGGTTCAAATCCTGGCTCAGTGGCATGAAAAATATGCCAGACGCACATGCATGCATGCCCAAAATCCAAGCAGGATGGAAAAATGGAGAAAGGATTGTGGTGTGATCGTGCCCCATTAAGGAGTATTCTCTCTCTCTCTCTCTCTCTCTCTCTCTCTCTTTCTCTCTCTCTGTGTGGTGAGCACATGCATCTTCTGGCAATAAATAAAAGGGGGAGCAGGATTGAACTAGAAACAAATATGTCAAGTAGGTTAACAGTAGTTACCTACATTGCTACTGCTATTATAGGACTTTTTTCCCATGGTTTTTGTTTGTTTGTTTGTTCGTTCGTTTGTTTTTGAGAGGTTTTTGCTATAGAGCACATGTGCTTGCCAGAAAGACAGAGACAGAAAGTGAGAAATCACCTCCCCAGGGGGGATGGCCATGCCACAATCAATCCCTTCTCCTCTAATCTCTTCTTGGGATCTTGGGCACACATGCACATGCAACCAGCATGAGTTTAAGCCACTGGATCTGGGATTCAAACCATGGTCGACTACATGGGAGTCCAGCAACATAGCCATTATGCCAACTGTTGGTCCCTTTGGTTTTTATTTTATTTTAGAAAGAGATTTTTGCTATAAGGCACATGCGCTCACTGGAGAGACAGAGACAGAAAGCGAGATAGATGACCAGGGGAGGATGGGAAATGGCCATGTCACAATCCCTTCTCCTCTAATCTCCCCTCAGGATTTTGGGCATGCGAGCACACTTGCCCAGCAAGAGTCTTAAGCCAATGGATCTGGGACTCAAACTGCGGTTGACTACTGTCCTAACCTGCTGGACAGTTGAACAGGTTTCCTGAGGGAAGGAGTGAGAGACGGGACGAGCAGCACGGAGATGACGCAGTGTTAGTTGTTACAACACAGAGACGACACAGTGTCACAGCTCTTCAGGGTCGTCTGGAGATTGTGGGCCAGGGATCGTGGTTATATACTTGTTGGTGGGTGGTGATTGGTTGTTCTATATGAAAATGACGGATTGTAAAAGGTGGGTTATGATTGGTTGCTTTTGTGGACCAATCATGAGGTGCCAGATATGCAAGTCTGAGGGATTCTAAGCTCACCAATTTGCTATGGGAAGTAGCCAATCAGAGTATGGTTTTGAAGGTGAGGTTTTGAAGGGGAGCCAATCATGGCCTTTGGCATTGTGTAATTATTTGCTGAGAAACCGAAACCTAAGAGTGATATTCGCTGGTGCGCAGCCTCCCACAGACTATGTAGAGTCCAGCAACATAACCATTACGCCATCTACTGGCCCCACCCAGTGTTTTCAATATACATAAATAAAACACACACTATCTTAGTTCAGGCTGCTATACAAAACACCTTAGACTGGGTGTGTTAAACAACAAACATTTCTTTTT